ACTATAGAAAATAGAAAATCTTAATAAAAAATTAAATAACAATAATATAAGCATCGCGTTTAATGAAATATGCTTAAATGAAAATTTGTTACCGAAATTTACTGATATTAAAACTTGCGATTTAACAAATATATATATATATATATGTATATATATATATATATGTATCTTTATTTATGTGTATGCGTATCTTTGAATGTACAAATGAATGAAGTATGATCAACATAAAGACGATAAAAGAAAGGGTGAAATTGTAGAATCAATAAATAATTCAAGACAAAAACAGTAGCTACGTTTCATAAAGTAGTAGTAGTAGTAAATGTCGTGGCTGTCGTAGCAGCTTTACTACAGAAGTTGATGAAGTAATGGTAATTTTTTTAGTATTTAGTATTTTGCATGTATACGATTTATTGTATTTAAACTGACACACGATCTTAAGATATTAATAAGTACAACAAGCATATACAACTACAAACAAATATAAACAATACACACACGCACGCAGAAGAACGCACACGCACACACAAACAAACAAACATAAGCTTACCAATAAACATAAAAAAGACCCAATACAAATCCATACATTGCGGTTTTGCTTGTAAGAAGTCTCCATCCTTAATACATTCTGCAAGCGTGTTATACCTAAGCCAAACCCCAGATCTCTTTCAACAAAAAACATGGAAAAGCTTTGACAGAAATGCAACAACCAATACAAATGCATAGCTAATATCGCGTACACATTGAATACATATTCGTAGCTAATACGAACACATGGCTAACATAATTAATACAGATATATATATATATATATATATACATATATATATATATATATATATACACACAAACATACATATATACCAAAAAGCTTTTACGAATTAACCAAAATTCAAATACTTATTTTGTACACACGATTGAAAATATTCAAAATGAAAAGATACACAGCAAATAAAAATTGAATAAAAAAAGAAATAAAAGAAATTTAATTGAAAAATTATGTATATAGGTACGTGTATGTGTATGTACGTGTGTTTGTGTATATGTGTGTGTGTGTATTTGTATAGATGGACTTTTATGAAGTTAATTACAAAGAATGAATAGCATTCAAATACTACGACGGTGTTGCGGTTGTTGTTGGTATCCATCTTTCACCGCGCAGGTATCTAAGCGTATAAATATGCGTATTTCTATCAGTAGTGCGTCCAAGTTTGTAACTGTTTTATTGTTGTTGCTAATGAAAGCAATTAAAACCTTGAACAGTATTTGGCCAAGTTGTTTAATTATTATTAAAACGATTAAATGAAACCGATTTTAATAAACGAAAATTATTGAATAAAATATAGAATAAGATATTTGTGAAGAAGTAAGTGAAGATGAAATGAAGAAACAAGTAAATAAATAAACAAACAAAATAAACAAACAATCAAACATACATACATACATTACACACGTACATACATACACACACACGTACATACACACACACACACACACACACACATACATACTTACTTACATCGTTGATAGTATGGATGAAAGAGACATGTTCCGAAAACGACTTAAACATCACTTTTTTGACCGGCAGCTTCTCGAACAGCGCCTCTAAGTTTTACATAGAGGGGCGCTATATAAATTCTCCATACCATACCATACCATGAATACAAACAAACAAATAATAATCCACAAAACTTAATTCACCATTTTATGTGTCCAACAACAAAATTATGGGTCCATAAAAATTCCTTAATCATAAATGGCCCAGCCTAATTGTGTTACGTCAATTTATTTGGATTATTTTGTGGAAGGGAGATTTTTGGCGTTGGTTATATAGGGTGTATGCAGATGTGTGTGTGTGTGTGTGCGTGTGTGTGTGTGTGTGAGAGAGTGTTTGTGTGTATGTCATGCGTATATAATGTAGGTTTTTGTATTGTTTTAATTTTACAATTTTTTTTAAATTGACACACACACACACACACACACACACACACACACATATATATATATATATATATATATATATATATTATCATCGTTATCATCCATACATCATTTCATCATTGTCGTCCCCAATACGTTTATATTTAGGCAAAATAAAAAAATCGAAGATTTTCAATTTAGGGCACCTTGATGACTTTGCTAGTGCTTTTTCATTTCAGATCTGAAATTAAATCGGTGGTGAATAATGGTTATAACAACGACGATGATGATGATGTGATGAGGATGATGGGAGCAAATTATCATGGTTATTATCTTCGTCAATAGCACAACTTATTCGTCTTAATGACTCTTATCGATTAATAATTCATTATCGTCACCGTCATAACTGCTTTCATAATGATAATAATATAATAATAACAATTATTATTTTTTTTATTATTATTATTATCATCATCATCGTTATCATCCAAACATCATTTTATCGTTATCATCATCAACCGTCAACCAGCATCATCATCTTATCTCCGCCATCATTAGTCTAATCATAAATAATCCAGCTTCATTTCGTCCGCCATGTTTTTTATCTTCTTCCTGTCACGCGATCAAGTACTTTCAGTGCGTTTTTATATTCAGAGCCGCAGTAGAACCTCATTTAATTTTTAACCTTTTCCATCGGTGTCAAATGTTATTTTATTTTTATTACTTCCTGCTTCGAAGAGATAAGACACCATTTTTTAATAAAACTTTATTAAAAATCCGAAATGAAAATTGTGCTATGATGTTAGTGAATGTGTGGCGAAGATCACTTGTTGTATAAGATTATTACGGCTGTAAATACGAAAAAAATATTCAACAGTGCTACTTAAAATGCTTTCATTATTAACAAACACAAAGACAATTTCCGTACGTGTCATGAATGACATGAAATGTATCCACAACAGCACATTCAAACATACATGTACAATCGACCACTCACATAACATACATGAATAAAAATACACACAAAAATACACAAGCATGGAAAATTGAACAGACACACACAACACAACTAGAAAAAATGAAAGGATTAAGAGGTCATAGATACAAGCTCTTCAAGAAGACAGAAAATCCAAAAAAGCAAAGATTCTTCGGAAGCAGGGTGTTAAACGCCTGGAACGAGCTGAGAGATGAAATCGTTTCAGTGAATTCAATCAATAATTTTAAAATCAAGCTAGGAGAGCTGGGATAGTAGGACATTTATTTCGTAGTGGCCCTTACACAGATGCTAGTCTACTGAACCACTTAAAACTTTGTTATATTGTGTTGTGTTATGTTGTTTTGTGTTGTGGTGTGTTATGTTGTGTTGTGTTGTGGTGTGGTGTGTTGTTGTGTTGTTTTATTTAAAGATAAACGCCCAACTCTAATGTTTTGGGTATTTTGACGACGATATTAGCGCTCTGGAGGGTTTGTTCAAACATGTTTTTACACAAAGTTTAATCAAATATTTTCTTTTAATTTTTGATGAATTAAATTACCGTGACGTCATGTCTGAGAGGAAGAAGATTTCATTCAATATCGATTTTGATGAATTTTTAAAAGAGGTTATTTTTAATTTCGTTTCTCTACCCACTACCTGCTTTTCTTTTTTAATTTTAATTTTTTAGCACTATAAAATCAAACAATAAAATTTTTTATTGAAAGAAATTATTGTTCAACTTCAAATTTAGATGATGCTTTTATCTAACTTTTTACCATAAAAAATTTGGTTGCTGCTAACTAATCTAACGATTTTAATTTAATTTAATAAATAAAAATAATATTTTGAAAGTTAAGTTTACTTTTACAGACCTCCAATTTTAAATAAAAATATTTTTAAATAAAATTAAATGAATAAATTAAAGAATTTACATAATACAACATGCAACAGTCAATTTCAAGCAGTGATGTTTCTCTGGACACGGGCAGACTCAATAAAGCACTGGATGGCATCGACGATGATGTTAACGATGATGATGATGTGGCTACAAAACTCATCAAAAAGTTTGAGGACCACAATGATGATGATAATGATGAAGATGACACATATAGAGGTTTTTTTTCTTTAAATTTATTATTACGTATATAATATATTTATTTATGTATATAACATAATATAATATATTTATTTGTTATCATTATCAATTATTTTGTAACCTTTACTAATGAAAATTTATTCTAATTGTTTTATTTTATCAAAAAGCTTAATTTTTCTTATAAAATGATATCCAAATATGACTAACGACATATATTAAATCTTGAATTCAACTAATTTTTTAATCATATCTCTTTGAAAAACCCCCATTTTAGGTGAAACCAATAATTCAAAAAGAAACAAGTTTATGAAGGTTCAAAAGGTTTCCTCAAAAACGTATGATGAAAATTTTCAATCAACCATTAAATCTGGTGAATATCAATCTGATGTGAGGATTGATGATAAAGAAAAATATTTCAAGGTGTTTTTAGTTGATTATTTATCATTAAGTCATTTTACATCAATTTATAGATGATATCAAAAATACATCATCAAATTATCTTTAACATTTTGACATTTTCCCCAACATGTTGTTGAGATATTATGAATAGATGATGTTAATATTATAATAGGATTATGTTAATGCTATGAATTAATTATGTTAAAGTTATGAATTAATTATGTTAATTAATCAGGCCTTGGAAGAGAGGCACATGAATGCATCTCCATTGAATTTCAGTTTGTTGAATCAGCAATTTGAAAACACTGATTCAACTACACTCAACACATCAAACTTTTTGGACTTGATTGAAGAGAAGCAACAGCAACAACTGCAACGACTCAAGCAACACCAAAAACAACAACCAAATGAAAAGGTTGACAATGATATTGAAACAATGCATATTAACATTGGTGATGATTTTACTCAACAAAAAAGAAATGATGATGGAGATAATGATGATGATGATGAGGACGATGATGATGGAAAGACTGAAACAATGAAAAAGAATGCTGAACATGATGATCTCAACATATCTGGAGGTAGGGCTTGATGAAGATGATGATGATAAGGGTTGTAATCATAATTTATGAGTAAGGATAATAATAGTAATAATGTGAACCATCTTTTAGTAGATGATGATGGTAATCATAGTGATGATAATGATGATGATGATGATGTTAATCAAACTCAACCATCATCACTGCCCTACAGTTTCAACAGCAGCCTCTGAAACCTCGGTCAGTGTGGTGTCCAGTCGAGAGATGCGCAACAAAATACTCAGTGATCTCAATAAAAAACACAAACAAGCCAACGACACTTCTGCTGCTGCTGTTGCAGTTACTGCTGTTACTACTACTGTGGCTGCCACTATTGCTACCACTACTACTGCTGTTTTTACCGCTACCAATATTAGTAGTACTGATGAAGCATATTTGAAAAGTAACAAAATGAATGACAATAAGGAGGATGATGGCGATGATGATGAGGATGATGATGGCGGGTTAAGCCAGACGGTGGAGAACAGATACAAAAGTAATGATGACGATGTTAAGGATGATGACGTCAATGTTGCAGGTGACACCGGAAGGAAAAACATAATAAACATAATGAAGGCCATTAAACCGTCACCGAGGTTGAGTCTCACTAGGAATAAACTTTTAAGTGGCATGAGTGTAAATCGTGAAAATGACGGCTATGGTGATGACCGCCACAACTTAACAACACCCAGATTTACGACTACAACTACTTCTGTTACTTCTACTACAGCTAAAACCGGCAAAAGTGTAATATCTCCATCAATGAGAACGCTTCCTACGGCTACCAAATCTAAATTGTCGGCTGTGAAAAGTGTAACAAAGTCCAAAACAGCTGCAACGTCAAAATCGCTTATGACAACCCAAACATCTACAAAAGATACAAAAGTTCAGTCGGTGACAGCAAAAGGCCTTGAAAACAACAAAACTTCTCCTAATGATAGTAGCAACAACAAAACAACACTAGCAACGAAAGCAAATGCAACGACATACAAAGTTCTCCAACCCGTAACCCTGCAACAACAACAACCAAGCATCTCGAGCAACGGTAATGAAATCACGTTAAAACAACGACGTCTACGTGATGACAACAAACAAGTTGACAGCAACAATTATCCTGATGACGATGATGACAACAAAAATGATGATGATGATTATAATTATGATGATGAAAAATTTTCTGACATTGACGATGATGACGATTCCAATTTGAAAATGGCGCCTAAAGAGTCAGCTGACTTTGAAAAAATCCTGAAGGAGCAGGAAAGACTACTCAGAGGGTACCAGGAGGAAAATGAAAAACTCTATAAACAGTTGAAGACGTTTAAAACTGAACGGGATAACAAAAAAGATGAACTTGAGAGAGAAAATTTATTATTGAAGAAAGATCTCGATCGTCTTAAAATGTTGTTTTTTTATGATCTTTGTTTTTTTTGTTCTTTTTTTTCTTTGTTATAACATGATCTTTTTCTATATAATCTTTGTTTTTTGTTTCTTGGTTATAATATTGTTGATAGCTATCATTAGATTTTTAAAAGTTCATTAATATCACAGTCGCAAATAAACCACTTACCCATACTTTTTGAATCATAATTTGTCATTTTCAATTTTTTTTCAAATCTTCAGACAGCCGTTAAATTCAGTAGCATCATCGACAAAAACATTGAAAATCGACAAAACTAAACAACATCAAATAGATCAACAACAGCAGCAGCAGCTGCTGCTGCAACAGATTCAACAATACAAAAATAATGAAAAGTTGTATCAGGATAAGATCTTCTATCTGGAAGTTGAACTCGAATGCGCAAAAGTAAGTAAAGGCCCTCCGTGAATTTGATTCTTAATACCTGATTTGTCATTTTTGAGCCTTATAGTGGTATGTAGTTAACATTTACTTTACGACTACCTTTTTTTCAAAAACTTTTTGTGTAATAGTCTCAGTTATTTATTCACTCATTCATTCACTCGTTCACTCAATCATTAGTTCATTCATTCACTCACTCATTCATTCATCTGTCCCAGGTTGAAAAAGCCAACCTGAAGAAAGAGATGGATAAGTTGAGAGTAAGATTGAATGGGAAGAGCAAGGAATTGTTGGATCTTCAGACAAGCATCCTTCATAACGCAACCAACAGGAGATCCAGAACTCATCAAGTCTGCATGCAGGCATGCATGCCTGAATGAATGCATGAATTAATTGATTGATTAATTAATGGATTAATGAAATTAATATAAAATTTTTATGGATAAAGTCAAAATATTTGTTTTATAGTTTCATATTATTTTAATAGTATTCTATTAAAACTGTTTGTTTCTCTATCTGAAAATGAACGTATGCAATTTGCGCTATGTTAAATAACCCATCCTCCAATTTGCACAGGCATCATCCTCACCACCTCAAAGCCACAAACAACGACAACAACAACTACAACCATCATCATCAGTGTCACCACCTCGAGCCAACACCAACAACATCAGCAGCAGCAACAACGACATCAAATTACAACAATTGCCGTCATCGTTTTCACAAAATGATAATGTCATTTCATACTATGAGAGTAAGATAGAGATGATGGCTAGGGAGAGTGCTGAGAGAGAGAGGAAGTCTGAGGAGAGTTTTAAACAGCTCTATGATCAGCATTTGATTATTAAGGTGTTTGTTCGTTCGTTTGTTTGTTTGTTCATCTGTTTGTTTAATTGTTTGTCTGTTTTTTTCTTTTCATTTTTCATACATTCATCAATTCAGTTAGTTTTTGGATTGTTAAAAATTATTAACTATCAACGTATAAATAAAAATAATTAATGCATCCAATCATGCTTAATAACAAACACACAAACAACACCAAACAAAGAAACAAATAAACGTCAACAAAAAAACAAACAAACGAACCAGAAACAATATGAAGAACATCTGAAAGATCTAGAAGATGAACTAGAATACTACAGGTACTACCCACCACAACCGACAATAGCAACCAAATCATCATCATTACCTCCAAATCCTGATGATGGTGGTGATGATGATGTTTACAAAGATGATGGTGACCATCATCGAGATCATCATCATGGCGAGCAAAGGCGTCTGGCGGTGGATAGAGTGAAGAAAGTGGAAAACGAGGTGGAAAGTTTAAAGAGGGAGATTGCTGATTACAAAAGTTATTATTATTATTATTGTTGTTGTTGTTGTTGTTTTCGTTTTTGCCATCAGTTGTATCGTCAGTTGTATCATCAGTTGTATCATCAGTTGCATCATCCTTAGTGTCATCATCAATACGAAGTGGCATTAACATTTACACTGTTGCGTTTTTGTGATCGTCGTCGTGGTAATAATAATAATAACAATAATAATAACAATAATAATAATAATTGTAATAATAATAATACGAAACTTTTCTGCCAGAACTCACGAAACAGGATGACAAAGACAACATCAGCAATAAAAAGACAACAGTGACAGAAAAAAAGGTTATCAAATCCGCAACCGATAAAAAAAGTAATGATGATGACGATGATAATTTCCATCATCATCATCGTCGTCGTGACGATGGTAATGATGTCGGCGGTAATGATAATCGTCTTCAAACTCATCTGGTTGATGATGGTAACGACGATAAAAAAATTTTGATGGGCAATGCTGAAAAGTATAGAGAAACCGTTGTTAAGCTGTCTGACGAAAATAACTTGCTGAAGAATAAGGTTGTGTGTTAATGTAAGAGTAATGAAATGTAATGCTACTTAGTGTTGTTAATGCAATGTAATGTTTTTAATGTGATGAGTTGTTGTTGATGATGTTGTGGTCAGTGTTGATGTTGTTCATCATATTTATTATCATGTCACAATTCTTTTCATGGCCACCGTCAACAGAATCGTAATTATTATTATTATTACCATTATTATTCTTATCGTTTATTTTTATTATTACTCAGTTAGCATTGCTGTCCCAGGAACATGAGTTAGACATGAACAGAATGAGGTCTACATACATGACCGTTCAACTCAATGATAAGAGTAGGATACAATCATTAGAGGTGAGAGGTTTCCTTTACTGGTTGATTGATCGATTGGTCGATTGATTGATTGATCGATTGATTGATTGATTGAAGATATAGTTTTATTACTGGTTTAGTCGGTTAAATGGTCTGAAGAATGATTGATTGTTGTCCAAAATTGTTACTTAAAGTTTGAATGATAATTTGATTGATTAATTAAAGTGTACTAATATTTAAGTAGCTAAATTTAGTTATTTATTATCATAAACAATTAATTAATCTTCACAAAAGATAGCAATAAAGAACTTGAAAGACCAGCTGTCAATCAAAGTGTCAGAGGTTGAGATCCTATCGAATGTTCAGCAGAGGAACAAAAGTTTGGAGGAAAGTTTGGCTGCATTGAAAGAGGAACTCGTAGAAGCTAAGATGAATCATACGCCGGTTTGTCTTATTCTGTTTATTTCTTAATTTTTCAGTTTCGAGTCACCTTTGATTTTAATTTATTCTGGTTTACCTTTTTCTTCAGTCAAAGAAGCAGTATGAACAATTAAAAGCAAGAGTGAATGAACTGAGTCAGCGATTAACAAGCAGAGAACAACTTCTTGAAACAATTCTCAAAACGACAAACACAGCCCAACAACAGCCAACATCCAACAACTACAGCAACGCGGTAGATGCCGCTAACCTGATAAGTCAGATAGAGGAAACAAACAAATGGAAGGTGGTGGTGCTTGAAAAGTCAAGAGAAATTGATTACTTTCGTCAGCAGTTGGACGTCATATTGGAGTTTTTGAGAAGTCTGAAAATGCAGGGCATCAAACTTCCTGACAATATCGGGGGTACTTTTCCGTTACACAACTTCTCAACCAATCAATCAATCGCAAAACAATTTAGCGAACCAAACGCAAAAGTTTTCAGTCAGCTGCCTTATCAGTTTTCAATGAACCAACCAATCACATAGTAAGGTGACAGACCAACTTTTCCACTGAGCGAGTCAGAAAACTTTAATCGTGGTTATGATACCCACTTGAATGGCTGCTTCGACGCAACCTTTAGGACTAATCAAAAAAATTTTTACTATTTAGTCTGTAAACATTTTATTTCGTCGTTTGCATGGTGGGCTTCATGAATACATTATTATTAGTCTAAAAAGGTTAAATGTTGACACTCCTGAAGCTAGCACAACAAGAGAGGATGATCTTTAACCTATTTATTTAATGACCTTCAACCTATTTTTATTGTTTTTATTATTATGATTTATGCTGCTTTTAGTATTATTTTTATTATTTTCACGAATACAGTTCATAAATTATTTGTACAAAACTCAATCGACGAGATATTGCTATCAATGTCCATAATGAATGAATGAATGAATGAGTGTTTGTTCACAAAAGTTTTTTTTACGAGTAAACATGTTAAATTTTTTTCACAATCATTCGGAAAATTTAGCTGCTGCTGCTGCTGCTGCTGCTACTACAACTGCTACTACTATTGACATTTATTATCTTTTAATATTATAATAATTATGTAAATAATATATTATATATAATAGTGATTCAACAGAGATTTATTATGGATGCATGACTGATGCTTAAGATGGCAGTGTTTACAGACCAAACAATTGCGTCATCGACAATCAAATTACACAAACACACACACACACATACCTACATACACATACCTAGCACCTGCAAGCACACATATACGCATTAAATCGTAATAATAGACGGCATAAGCAAAATTCAACCATACATTAGCTTTTCTACTTAGAGGTTCATTTTAGAGCACAAATGATAAACATTAAACTAAGTTCACCTCTGTGAAAAAATTTTGCTAGTATTACACCAATACAATACATACATAAGTAATATATAATCAATAGAAGCAAAATATTCAACCTATGCTACTGCTACTTCTACTCTACTTTTACTACCACTACTGTTGCTCTGCTGCTGCTGCTGCCACAATAATTACTAAAAGTAGATCAGAGGTATGAACAAATGAATAAGCAAATGAACATAGCTTATCACCAAACCTAGAAGCATATTTACTATGGTAAATTTAAAGTAATTTTTCCTTATAAGTATGTTTAATGCGCACCTCAATAATAAGAATAATAATAAAAGAATTAATAATAAAAGAATAATAGCAATAAAAATACACGTGTAATTTTAAGTATATCTTTTGGTACTGGTATTGATAAAACTTATTAAATTTTGAATGTCTGTTGGCGACATCATTATGAAAACTTAACAAACTACATTACAGCAATAATAATAAATCATCCTTCATAAAAAAAATCAATAAGAAGCAGTCCTTTTTTTCTTAAAAGAAAATTTTTTTCAATTTCAAAAGCTATATAACAGTATCGTGCGGCTTGTAGTTTGTATTGTAAAGCGTGATGATTCATCAATTGCATTATGATACAAATTACTGACGTTTATGAATGTTTAACTTATATATTTTTTTATATGTATGTAGGTTTCAATTGTATGTGTGTCTGTGTATGTATATACATAATATATATAGTATATACTTTTCGCTCATTCTAGGACTCACCGATGACCCAATTCGTCGATGTACTCCATACATAATATATATATATATATATGTGTGTGTGTGTGTGTACTACAATTTTACAAACATTTATAACTCTTATAAATATAAGATGTAAAGACTTTTAATTCTATTAGAATTGTGGTGTACCATTCCATTAAAATTATCTAAAACGTTAGAAAATTATCCATAAATAAAATACGTGAAAAAACTGCCACCAACCACCAGGTACCTAAAACATATCCACAAATGAACAAACCTAAGTGATACAAACTAACTTGAGAAATTTGGCCTACTTTTAAAAAAATCATCACATGATTATGCACTATATAAATGTGTCTAATGTGTATGTTGTGTGCGTTTGTGTGTGTATACACATGTGCATATATATATACAAATATATATATATATATATATATATATATATATATATAAACTCAAAATGACAATTTGTATAATAACCTAATAAACAAAGTTTTTGATGAAAATATGTGAAAATATAAAATTTCAGCTAAGTGTACAGGAAGAAATTGTTCTCAAAATTGCTTATTAGTTGAAAGAAAATTGAGACTAATTAAATGATAATTACAGTGAACATATGAACATGTATATGATATGTGTGTGTATGTGTGCGTGCGTTGTGTGTGTAAGCTTGCAATAATTTTATTTTATTTTAAATTTGATGAAGAGTTTATGTGAATGAGAATTAGAACATTAAAATTCATTAGAAACTGGTACAAATGTGATGCGATAATTAGTTTATGGAAAGTTTAACTATCGATTGAACACCAATGAACAGACCAATTGTTGTTTCACACCATCAAAGTCAGACATGTTTATTATTAAAATTATTTTAATTTCATTTAATATGGAAATGAAACTATTTAATAATCCGCCATATTGAATATGAAAGTGCAGATACAGAAACTACAGCATACAAAAAACTGGGAATTCCCGATTTTCTCACAATGACAATTGGCGAAGAAGATCGTAAGTTAGACACCGGGAGACATTGTAATTTGGATTGATCTCTTTCAACTTTGTAACGACTGCATGGGTCTAACTGCCATGAAACTGCATAGACGGCCCCAGAAATGAAGCTGAAAACCCCCAGTGGTGCATAGAATATAGGCCTGTCAGGTATTACGAGACCAACTGAGAGACATGTGACCCCCGATGCTAATGATGAAAATTTTATCCAATTCCCCAATGAAATCCACGATGAGGTTTCTTTCCCTAATTTAGTCGGTTCTATTATTATTGTTTCTATATTAGAATATATGGCACAGTCTAACTGGCTTTCAAAGTTTTCCAGGGCAGACCCATTTTCGTAGACTTCTTTTATTACGTAACACTTTTGAGATCTGTGGTTTAATAAAAAATAAAATAATTATCAGAAATTTAATTGATATATCTTTGTTACGTATTTTAACATACTTGTAACAATGAATTACAACATCAATTTCACTCTTAAGAAAAAAAGCGAAATAGTAGAATAAAAATAAACCTGTTGTTGCTGCTGTTGTTGTTGGAGTTGTTAGAAGAGTTAGATGCTCGTCCATTAGCTTGGCCGTTGTTCGAATGCATGTCAAGTTCAGACATTGCAAAATTGAAAAAACCAAAAAATTATGAGATTGCTTAACAAAAAATATCAATAACAACTTTTTCAAAATTAAACATAAATTTGACTGTCATATGATTGATTGATTAATTAAATTTTCTTATTTTGTTCTTATTGTTCTTATAATAATAATAGTTAAAAAAAATTAGCGCTAGCTTGACCTAATAAAGTAACTAACGGGCAACGCTGCTTAATTTAAAAATAAATAATAAAATTATTAATTGTTTTAAACATTAATTAAAGATTAACAACCTCTCTAAAACTAAAAAACGAGCAACTTGAATTAAATACAATTTGATGGCATAAAATAATTTCGTTTCGTAAAACGTTTTTCAACTTCAAACACTAATCTGAAGTTTCCTAATCTTAATTAAATCAACTTTTAAACCAACTCTTGCATGATCTGATCAACGAACGAAGCGAAGCACCCAACCCAACTTGTTTATTTACCATCATTATGAATGGAAATTTATTTTTAAAAGAAAAAGTACAACTGCAAAATAATATTTAAAGCGCTTTATTTTATTTAAGTTAAGTAACGTATAAAATTTAAAAAAACTTTTTTACGAATTATTTGCTTAAAAAGTTTACATTGATATTTAAAAAGTAAATTTGTTTATAAAATATATTTTTAAACATGTTGTTGCATTTTTTAAAACTTTAAACAATTTTTCAAACCTTTTCTTGTTTGTGTGTGTATGTGTGTGTGTGTTTGTGTGTGTGTGTGTGTGCGTGCGTGTGTGTGTGTGTTTGTCTGTTAGTAATTTTATATTAAATATATTTATTCCACATATTTGCATAAATAATATATATCATACTACATTATAAGTAATTGCCATGCACATACAAAAGTGCACATATAAGCTTAAAAACAAATATACTAATGCAGGCTTAAGGCTTTTACCAAACGCATAACCTTTGATGTACTAAAACAAATATATTGCTATGCTTTGACTCATGTGATTATAAAAAATGTATATATATACAAACACACACAAACATATATATATTATATTATTTATATATGTGTATTCTACAATACACATATATGACATACATTCATAAATCTATCTGTAAGCACGTCTAAAAATATGCCTGCATATGCATATATACATGGCTGCCTGCACGCTTGCTCTATACACACACACACACACATGCTGTTCGTTTCCTCACTATGCGTCTGCTCATTGAAACTGCTAAATGTTAAGATCAATGTAGTGTTTAAATGTTAGAATTTGCATTTTAAAGTTAAAGTTTTGGACTTTTGCTGCTACTTTTACTAGATAAAAATATTTTCTACTTTTAGGATAAATTTTATTTCATTCGAGATGCGTGTAGCTTTTGTATTGTCTACGTATTTGTTATCTGCAGTCGTTTCAGTTGGGAACAATGAATCATCAACGTTAACAACAGCTGTGTTGAAAACAACGACAAATAGTGTTGTTAACAACGAATCAAATAGTTCAACTAAGAAACAATTTGATGCAAGTCAACGACCAAGTTGTCAACTGTCATTACATGAGCACCAACTCTCCAAACAAGTCGAATATTTGCTGAAGAAAGAAAAAGTCGTTCTCATAGAATACATCATCAGTTTTGTCAACTACACAAAATCGCCACTGAAACTGAAAAACGAATTTCAAAACGAAAAATGGTACCGAGTAACGTCGGAACACGGCCAAATTTTGTTAAATTTAGCATTCAACTACGGCGTACTTTCAATGGCTACGTTAACGTTGGGAACGACCAAACTCATCTTAGAACTAGTTGACAGTCCAGCTAACTGTATGGCTGAATCAGACCCGGACGACCAGCTGTACAGTTTGCAGTATTTTTTGATGAGAGATCTTAAACCGGACAAAAAAGTTGAACTATCTTGGAAAGAGAGCATATGCCGTAAAGTCGTTCTTAACGATAATTCCGGGTACGCAAAATTTACTCACGAATGTGTCACCGTTGATTCAGAAACATCACAGTTAGTAGTCGCGATAGGGTTGGATAGACTTTGGATTACAATTTTGGATATAATGTTGATAATAATAAGAATAGCGGCTCTAGTTTGCTTACCGTATTTCCTCGTCAGCATTTTTAAAGGAGTAATTAAAGAAAAAGTTCCTTACGTTGTTAGATTGAAAGATGACAGTCCTTTGTTGAAGACGTTGATGATTGTGGACGATGATGACATTAAAAATGATTACATCAAGCAAGGTAAAGAAGTTTTAGATTTGAATGTTGAAAAAGAATTTCCTAAACTTCGACATGTTCTTCACTACGGCACATACCCGATGAATGTACCTTTTAAGGCCAACATTAAACAATACGACATTTTAGTAGACTATCACAGAACTCAACCCGAAGATCGAGTTCATGTTGGATTTATAAAAACTCTCGCTGGTGTGATATTTAGATGCAAAATAAAAGAAGTTGGACCTTTCGAGTTATGTTGTCAGTCTGAAATGCTGAAACTGGTTGCTTCCAACAAATGTTACTTGCTCTGGATAACATTCTGGAGAAAATTTTCAGCTGTCCTTCTCGTTTTCACGATACCTGTCTTTTTTTACGTGCGCGTTCTACTGTACTACATTTACGAACACGAAGAAGTTACATTGAGAAAATCGGTTACAGAAAGTATGTCTATGAAAGAAATAGTTTCAAACAGTTTTTTGCAGTATTTAACCCCAATTCATCCAGTTTTAATAACAATTTACGTTCTGTATTTCTTGGCTGGTTTTATCGTCGCACTTGCTCCGCGGAAAAATGAAGATGCTGACAAAAATCACGTGCTCAAAAGAATCGTTAATTCATTTCGAGATCTTGATGAATTTTCATTTACGCGAGTCATAAATTTTGTTTTCACCAATTTCACATGGCCTTTTTATAAATTTGGAATATTAGGCTGCTTCATTTGGCTCGTTTATTGGATTTTCGCTCTGCCTGTTTCATTTTTCGTCATTGCAATTTACAGCGTGCCATCGCTCTATCTCATGTTCCGCATGATTTATTACTGCAAGAGAGCTGTTTACGTTCAGCTGCACAAACTGCCTCCCTTCCCGATGATGTATCAAGTTACAAAAAGAAAGAGTCAGAAAAAACTGTTAAACAAACTGAAGGCAGAGAATGTGGCAGTAAAATATGCTTTGAAAAACATCGAACAATGTCGATCTGATCAAAATTACTCTCCAACTAAAGAAATTGAAATGAAAAAAATGGAAGAGCAACAGAAATTGAATCAAATTGTCTATGATTACTACAACAAGGATGAGGAATACATCTATAAAAGAGCCGATTGCTGGCACTGCGTCACCTACATCTTCACCACAGTTTTATGCCTTTTGGCATACATCGGATGTATGTTCCTCTTGGCTGAAATAGTCGTATTTGGGGTAGAAATAATAGTTTTTACCATCATGGGTATTATAGTCAATGCCAATTATATTTTGAGGCACGTTATGGTAGTCGCTATAGTTCTTTTATATTGCTTTGATAGTTTTTTTAACATGGAGAAGAAGTATTTGAAACTGAACAAAGTAATATTTGCAGAAGTAACCAGGCGAATACGAGATCTTGAATCAGTTACGTGCCTGCCGTCATTTTTACAGGAAAATCGAGGATTCAAATCTCAGGAACTGAACGAACAGGCTGATTACGAGAATCCTGATTCGATAGTTCCCAAAAAACACTGGATGATAAACGATCTCGTTTTATTTATGGATAGTTGTGATACTCCGAGAATCCCAAGAAAATTATTCAAAGAGGTGTGCAACATTCGAGTTTCTGGAGTTCCAGGACCTGTTTACAGAGGCCAACTTGATGCTCTACAGCAATTGGCCAAAGTTATGTTTTTTGTATGGCTTGTCGTTATCGCTGTGATGGTTTTTGGCGAAGTTTACACCATATCGTCGACAAACCAACTAATCGCGACGGTCGCCGGTAGCTTTCTACCTCTAATACTTCGCAGCTGCTTCTTCCAGCAATCATCAGACATTGAAGTGAACACTGTGACATTTAAAAGTCACATGGATGAACTTATAAAATCATTCCATCAAAACTGGCCAATTTACGATTTAGTTTTAAGTTTCATATACGATGACAAACTAGAAGAAAAATTGAAAGACGAGAAGCCTCGTTTCACTGACGATGAACCCGAATTCATCATTTGTTTGCCAAAAGATGGCAGTTTTCATAAGGAAAATAGGCTTTATAGTGTAATCGCTGATTAATCAATGTAACGTGTATACAATTTTTATTAATCAAAAGCTTGACTTTTTTAATGAATTTTCATTATTTAGCGATTTTTTTATTGTGAGAGATCTCCGTTTAGCATCTGAAATTTAAAAAATCTGATTATGTGCTTATTAGGTGTATTTATTTGTTTAAAGAAACGTCTATTGTGTTAAATTTATTCAGTTATATTCGATGTGTATTTTATCTACTTTTCAAAAACATTTTGAAAGCTTGGCCCATGTTGACCAGTTGAAACTTATTTCCAATTTATATTTATATATGAAGCTCTGCTTTTTTTCAAATAATTGTATGAAATTTAACAAATTCGTTTAAAGACAATGTTAAATTGATATTAGGTGTTTATTTATAATGTAGCAATGTTTATTTATTAGGATAGTATTTTTTTGTTTAATTACCTGTTATATTTTTTGTGTTAACTTTAAAATATTTTGGTGAAATCAGGTTATTATTTGATTGTAATTATTAAAAAGTTTGATATAGATCTTTTTTAATAAATCTTTTGTTAAATTAAAATGAGTTGTCTCATATTAAGTTTAAAAAGATTGTAAAGTTTAATGAAATGTTTAAAAGGCAAGATGTTTTCGACAAGTGTGTGTCAGTTTCGTCGTACAAATTAGCGCTTGTCTGTTATTTGCTTACATGCAAGTTTGAATTTTCGTACGTGCGTTCAAGTAATTTTTTAAAAATTTGATTGTGATTTGAAAAATAAAAACCATAAAAAGTGCCCCGGGTGAGGATCGAACTCACAACCTCCGCATAACTCGCCATATCTGCTTATAAGTACGGCGCGCTAACCGATTGCGCCACCGGGGCGCAACAACTGCATTGGCTTATAATAGTTTTTGAAATAAATTCTTTTAAAAACTGATTTTTGAATTAAAATTTATAATTTACCTATGCATTGAATGTAATATATACATATATATATATATGAGAACTCGTATACCAAAAAATTTTAACTCGATCGTCTACCTATAGGTTAAAATTTTCAACTTAAAAATAAATTTAAGTTTAAATAGTGGGCAGTTTTGTAGTTTTATATAAAGGCAACACGGTAATATTATTATCGCGATAATGAGATGAATTTGAATTTTGGATTAAAAAAGTTTTCAGCTTTTGCTAAATAAAATTGTTCTGTTATAATTTAATTTATTTAAGGTTTTAAATTAAATCGATTTTCAACATGAGTGACAGCAAACTAGCAGAAGCTCGTGAACATTTGAAAGAGGCTGAAAAATGGTAAGAAAAATATTTTTTAAATTTAAAAGTAAACTTAATTAAAATTAAATTTGAGTAAATTTTAAATAATTATAAGATTATTTCCTTATGATAAAAAATGTAAAATTAAAAAATTTACTTTAAAATTTAAAAATTAGTATTAGTAGTAACGACCTGTTAGTGCTAACTGTTAATATGTTAATAAATCAGGTTTTACTTTAATTTAATATTTAATTTGATCTTTTAAAATAAAAATAAATGATTAATAATTTTTTAATACTATAATTTAAAATTTAATTATTAAGTAACCTTTCTTTTACTAACCAAATCTGTTCAAAATACTAAACTAAATAAATAAAAATTTATATTTCCTAGCCTGAAGACTGGTTTGCTGAAATGGAAGCCAGATTATGAAGGTGCTTGTATTGAATATGGCAAAGCAGGTGGTGGTGGTCTTTATTTTAAAGTTTAATTTTTCATTTAAAAATCAATCACAACAAAACTTCAAGCTTATCTTTTATGTAACATTATAATATAATGATTATATTAATTTAACTATTAATTAATTTATTTTTTGTTTTTTGATGATAATATTAAATTAAATATAAATCAAAAGATTAATTAATTGATGTAATAATCATTTTTTTTACTGTCACAAAAAGCTATTGCATTTAAAAACGCCAAGTCGTATAATGAAGCCATAGATTGCTACCTCAAGCAGTTAGAAGCTGAAAAGGCCCATGGATCATATCTTTTTTTATTTTTGTTCATCCAGTTGGATCCAACTTCATAACACACGAAATTCATTAGAAAAATTTCGCTTCCCTAGCTACATTTTTTCATATTTATATAAGCATGGGTGTGTGTGTGTGTTTGTTTGTTTATGTGTGTTTTTGTGTGTTTGGTGTGTATGTGTATACATATGTAGTATGACTAAAATAGTCATCTCATATTACACGTATGTGTGTAAACTGTACCTCTAACCAATGAGATATAATAGATAGGCCAAGAAAATGATATTTTGTCACATTATTCTACAATTCTTATAGAATGTTTAATAAATTTGCCTTCCATATTGAAATTTTCCTTGACCGCTGTTTTCAATCTAATACATTGTATCAAGCCGCAAAGTAAGAAAAACTTGATAATTTATATTAATTAATTAATTAATTAATTAATTTCAATCTATTTATTACTTTTTAATGTATTTATACATATTGTAATATTATCACATATTAATATTGTTAATATTGGTAAGACGAAGGTAATGGTGAGTGGGGAAGGTGGGGACCGAGTGATAAGTAAAATAGACCCCTGTGTGGTATGTGACAGGAAAGTGAAGGCTAATTTGGTATTGTGTATAGGAAGTCAGAAGTGGGTGCATAAGAGATGTAGTGGTGGGAGAGGGGCACTGAAAAAGGTGGAAGGCACGTTCAAATGTAGGAAATGTGTTCATGGTGTGATTAATAGGACGGACGCAAGGGCGGGGTTGAGTGGTGGTATTGAAAGAGTGGAAAGCTTTGTTTATTTAGGGGTTAAGCTGACTGCGAATGGAGGATGTTTGAGCGCTGTTACGGCAAGAGTTCGTGTGGGATGGATGAAATTTAGGGAACTGGGTGGGGTATTGTGTGGAAAGGAATGGTCAGTGAAGATGAAAGGGAGGTATATAAAGCATGTGTGAGAGCAGCGATAGTATATGGTGGTGAAACTTGGGTGTTGAGGAGAGAGGAGAAAAGTGTACTGCAGAGGGCTGAAAGAGCTATGGTGAGGATGATGTGTGGGGTTAAAGTGAAGGATAGAAGGAGTAGTACAGAGCTGATGTCAATGATGGACTGAATGAGGACGTTGTGACATTGATAAAGAGATCGAGATTGCGGTGGTATGGACATGTGTTGAGAAAGGATGAAAGGGTCGGGATTAGGCGAGCGTTGGAGTTCGAGGTTGAAGGAGTGGTAGGAAGGGGTCGTCCGCGATTGGGATGGAGAGAGCAGGTGGAGAAGGACAGAGTGAAAGCGGGGTTGCGTGATACTAGCAACTATTTAAATTAATTTGTAAATCAATTTCTGCATAAAATCCACACACACTCGCACGCACGCACACGCACGTCCAGTTTTACGGACTAATTTACATTTTGAAGTTAATGTGTTTATCTACGTTTATATGTATTACACAGATAAATACACAGACATACGTAGGCATATATAAAAATATTCGTATATATATATATATATATATATATATATATATATATGTGTGTGTGTGTGTGTGTGTGTATTATATATAGATATATTTGTGCGAGTATGTGTGCCTGTATGTGTGTGTGGTGTGTGTGTGTGGTGTGTATATGTGTGTATGTGTGACGCTTAATTTTATAAATTTTTATGACTTTTTTTAGGTTAGTTTTTCAATGTTTAATAAAATTTAGAGCGGCAGAGTCGGCAGCCATGCTCTGCAAGGAGAAGGGAGATTTCATAAGAGCAGGTGATCTCGTGGAGCAGGCGTCCGAACTCTACCTGGAACATGGAGTCGGAGACACAGCCGCCATCATGCTTTCCAGGGGTGCCAAGTAATTTCGCTGCTTTTGTTGTGTTTGTCAATTTTTTTTTTGGTTACTTTTGTTTGTTTGATTTTAATTTGCAACATATTGAAAGGTTATGTTTGAGTTTATTTTCAGTAGTTGGGAATGTTTTGCAAAGTATTTGCTTTATTTTTTTTTATCAAATTTATTGATTTATTTGTTAAAATAATAATAATTATTATTATTATTTATTAATTGTTGTTGAAATTTAAAAATTAATAAGATGAATTCGTTAGTTGAATTAATTTTAATCAGAATGCTGGAGCAAGCAACACCTGAAAAATCCATTCAGCTTTATAAGAAAGCCTGCGATGTAGCTGAGGTTGTTCCTGATGATGATGATGATGATGATAATGACGACGACGATTTTGCCTTTTCTTGATGATCCTACTCTTCTCCTTCTTGTTACTTCGTTAGTCTTATCTAGGATTGATTATTGTAACTCGCTCTACTATGGTCTTCCTGACTCTATACTCTATCCTTTAAGTAAAGCTTTTAACTCTGCTGCTCGTCTAGTTGCTCGTGCTCCTTTCTTTTCTCATATATCTCCATATCTTGTTCTCTTGCACTGGCTACCTATAAAATATAGAATAATTTTTAAAATTTGCACGTTCATGTATAAGTCTCAATCTAAATTATTTCCTAAGTATTTATCAGATATATTAATTGAACCTAAACGCCCCGGTTTACGATCGTCTTCTTCTTCTCGCTTTTTCTTAACTCGTGTTAAACACTCTTTTGCCAAATCTGTTTTAGCTTTTTCTGGTCCTTTTCTCAGGAACTCTCTACCTACTTCTCTGACTACTTCTCCATCACTTGCGAAGTTCAGAGCGGATCTCAAGACCCATCTGTTTTCAAAACTCATTGAGGAGCGCTGTTGAACATCGCGGAAATAGCGCTTTATAAGCTAATTGATTGATTGATTGATTGATGATGATGATGATGATAATGATGATGGTAGTGATAATATTGATGATGATACCGTATCCAGGCGCAAGATAGAATGAAGGAATGCACGGAGAATATAGGCAGGGCTGCAAGGGTATGCATTAAAATCAAAAAGTAAAAAAACAAGTTTACTTTTATTATTACTATTATTATTATTATTATTATTATTATTATTATTATTATTATATTTTTATTATTATTACTTTCAATTATTACTATTATTATTATTAGTATTGTTATTATTGTTATTTTATTGTTATTATTATTACTTTCAATTATTGCAGGCTTTAAATTTTCGTTAACTTACTCCATCTACCGACTCAACTACTAGTTTACCACAATTCAAAAAACAACACAACAACACACATACAACACCACACTCAACAATAACACAGCAACAACAACACCACACACAACAACGATGCAACAGATTTGACGATGCAGCCAAATACATAGGTCAAGAACTGGACTTCATGTCCCGAACGAACCACGGGGGAGTCCTCAACAAGCTGGTCATGGGGTTGGTCCTTGTCCATCTTCACAGAGAGGACTACGTGGCTGCTGATCAGTCATTCCAGAAAGCTCTCAGGTTAATATATATCTGTTTACTTTTGTGTGTACGTCGGTGTCGATGTGTGTGTCTGTGTGTGCGTGCGTGCATGTGTGTGTGTGTAGTGTGTGTGCGTGTGTGTGTGTCATTCAGGGACAGTTTTGAAGATACAAGCATGAGAAATGCGTCAATGGATACATAAAGTGACATGATTTTTACAAAAGTTGCATTTATTTTGATGCCAACAAGTTTTCTTACCGTATCTCTGAACCACCTAATGAATTTACATTTATCTATAATGCTGTATAAACAAATTACAGGTGCATGCATGAACACACATACAAACACACATACACACGCACAAACACACATACACTCGCACGCACGCTGACATACAAATCACATGCAGGCAGTACACGGGTTTCAGAGATAGTGATGAGGCAGGCCCGATAGAAACATTCCTTGAGGCGTACAATGATGGGAACGGTGAGAAGGCTGAAAGTATTGCAAGGGGTTCACTCTTTGCTTATATGGAGAATGAGGTGATTGATTGGTTGGTCGGTTGGTTGGTTGATTGATTGATTGATTGATTGATTGATTGATTGATTGATTGATTGATTGATTGATTGATTGATTGATTGATTGATTGATTGATTGATTGATTGATTGATTGATTGATTGATTGATTGATTGATTGATTGATTGATTGATTGAGTGGCTGGTTGGTTAGTTGACTGGCTGGTTGGTTGGTTGGTTGGCTGGCTGGTTGGTTGGTTGGCTGGTTGGTTGGTAGGTTGGTTGGTTGATTATTGGTTGACTTGTTAATAGGCCTAATATGTGGTAATTGATAGAAATTTTTGTATTTCCTATTTTATATTTCAACGAAATTTAAACACTCGTTGACTCAACTCCACAGAGACATGGATAAATTTATAAACACACACGCGCGCGCGCACACACACACCACGAACACACACGCACGCACCACGAACACACCCGCACACACATTAGCACAGCATAAGTACATTACAAATAACAATTGGTTTAAACTCATTAATTTACCTCCAACCAACAAAATCAAGTTCACGAAATTAGCCAGAGATCTCAAATATCCTAAATCATCAACTACACCAGCTACAACTTCTGCTAAGGATTCTAGTGCAGCAGCTGGTGGTGGAGGTGAAGAGGAAGATAAGGATGAGTATGATGGTGGATTATGCTAAGCTATTACTGAACTTTTCGTTGGTGAATAATTAATTGAATTGATTGAATTGTCATAATTTTGAAATATATATTTAATCAATTAACCTATTTACTGGCTAATTAGATTAATAATTTTTTTGTATATATTAATATGTATTATTATTATTAATATTTCTGTCAATGTTATTATATCGATCAATTGTTAATGAACGTATTGAATTGTTATTGAATATATATATATATATATATATATATATATATAGATATATATATATATATATATATATCAAATTCTTTTTATTCAATAATTTCAAATAATTTATGCAACAAATAATGACATAAATAGAATTTGTATTCGGAGCATTTTTAGGTTTTTTTATTATCTCATTTAAGATCTTCCAAGTTTCCTGGCTATTGCTTTTAGATATTAACAGCCTATCATGGTAATATTCTTATTTTAACTTTACTTTACATTTATTAAACAGTTTATTGTATATTTTAAAAGTTTCTAAATTGGCGGCAGTTGGTTTTTTTTTCAAAAATTTAATGTAGAGACGTTTTTGAAGAGTTTTTGAGTGCGGTAGTCATTCATGGTTGTTGTTTATTCACTGTGGCAAGTTTTTTCTTACTCACTATATGGCAACATGATTTAAATGCTTGATTATAATGTTAACAAATAATTCAAATGCCCGATTAGGATCATCACAGTTAAACAGGTCTGTCCAATCGGTCGTGTTCAAGTAACTATTGAGTTTATTTATTCTACTTGTTGAGTAAGATATTTTAAAATTAATCGGATAGACGATCAGATCATTCATTGTAAACTGTACCACAACGTTTAATTTTATTTGGGTTGGTAGTTATCAAGAGGTTTAAAAGAGATAATTTATCACAGGAGAGAAAATTTAATATAGTTTCGTTGAATGATATATATTGGAAAGTGGTTAGATGGTAATTGAGAACGTGTCGACCTTACATCATAAGGGATGGTTACTGAATATGTAACAATTACAACGACCATCAAAATGACCCAGACGTCTTTGTCTTACCACTTCAAACGTGTTTATTTATAAATTTATTGGGAATTTTACAGAATTTCTAATTCGTGGGTGGTTTTTACTGAAAAATGTTAACTGGGATTTGAAGCCCGCCCACGTGTAGTGGTGGTTTTACGCTTAATTTGAATTTGAATTCCAATTTGAAAGTTGTTCGTTCAATGCTAAATTGTGTGTGTTACTACTCGTGTTCGGAAACGTAAATGTCTTGAGTGTTTATGCTGTAACTGTGTGATGTGTGTACTGTACATTTGTATGTATATGTGTGTGTGTGCGTGGTGTGTGTGTGCGTGGTGTGTGTGTGTACTTGTTTAGTACTTTCTTATGAGTTTTTACCTAGTCTTATACCTTTACACCTTTAGGTTTTACACCTTAATCACTCGTCGGTTATTTTTATCTTTTCAGAAATGTTCGGTCACAAATCATCTGCTTTTACTCACTCTTACGTATATTATATCTATCTATACCTACATTGTTGCATGTCTTTCCATTATATGGTCATAATTGTTATCATCACCTTACTTCATTGAAAAGTTTGCAATTAAAATTACAATGCAATGGAATGTAAATGTAATGCATTACCATTTATCTTAGGTTGTCATCTTATTCGTTGCCATTGGTGTTAGTCTAAGTCTTAGTGGCAGTAGTAAGTCGATATTAATTTTTAATTGTTCTCCAAAATAGAATAGAACATTCTTTTAAATTTTAAAAGTTTTTTTTATATGACCTTCTTTGTGTTTCAATGTTACGACGCACCTTTATACTGCAAACAAAGCCAAAGAAGCACTTGAAATAGAGTGATAACAGCATATGAAAGTGTTTAATTATTAATTAATTAATTAATTAATTTTACTAGTAAATTTTAACGGTAGCGTTTTGTAATATTTATTTAAAATAATAAAAATTATTATTTAATGATTGAAAAAAATTTTTAATCTACATTAGAAGGGAGTCGTCTGATTTTATGTAAATGTGCGTATCAGTGTTAAATTTTTATTCTATAAATGTGCCTTTTAAGAAGTTCCTTTGCCTAATGACTTGACAAGTGGTTGATCGGATTTTTAAGGTCATTAAATCAACAAGTGTCGAATGTTTGTCTGAAAATCGTTAAAAATACTTCAAAAAATATCCAAGGGAAACTAGACGAGACGTTAGAATGTCTCAGTTTTCGTAGAAAGAAAATGTATAGAGACAGTTGGTTAATTGGACTCCTAAATAACGTGTATGTATTCAAGTTTCTAAAGCCAGTTCAAACAATAACCGAAGTCGCATATAACAAAATTTAAATCATATATCGGCAATATTGAAATTTATAAAGTTAAGCAAATTAATTTAGAAAAACGTAATTATATCCTACAGAAATAGAAATAATAGAAATAGAAATATAAGCACGCGAATAATGCAAGTTATATGCTGATGAATTAGTTTATTTTAATGCTCAAAAGCAAATTTGGAATAATTTCAGCTGTGGTAGTGGGTAAATTTCAAGTATAGGCTACTTTTGTTTAAAAATTTGGAAATGCCGAATAAGAAACAAGCTGGCAATTATTACTACACGTTTAGATCATATTTCTAGAAAACTAAAAATGAGTAAAGCCAAACGACGAATGAGAATTACATGAAGAATGCATGCTGCTACAAATGTTACTTAACTATTACAAACTCCTCCTATCTGACTATTGCCGTCGCTATTTGCAATCACGATGAATTATTGATAATATATGATTTACAAATATATTATAATATATTACCGATAAACTAATTCACATTTCCGAATCTCACAAATCTTAGTAGAAACGTTGCTTTCTAATGTATGAGTATAAAGAAAATTGTAATAACTTTGCTCACACCCACAACAAACATATGTATGTTAATAATTATACATTTACGTATTATAAATTGTATACATATATATGTATGTGCGTGTGTGTGTTTGAGAGAGTGATCACACATCCGTACACATCTATATCCAACACACACTTCACACACACTACACACACACACACACACACACTAAACACAACACACTACACAAACACACGCATACACATGTCAACTAAATCAGCGTTTCTGCACCTATCAAAATTTAAGTATTAAACATTTCAAATGTTTATCAATTCTTCAAAATTGATGATGACCGAGTTTTTATATAACGAAAATGTTAATAAATTAAGACATTTGTCTGGTGGTCCGCGAGCAAAGTGTGAAGTGCAAGTTTTTTTTAAATAAAAAAATGAATAAGATGAACTCTTTTGAGTCTTTCGAGCATTAAGCCTCGTTTGGATAAGCTCAAGGCTCTAACAAAAATTAAATTTAGCATTATTTCTAATGCTAAATTTGAAACTTGGCACGTTTAAAAACCACCCGTTTATTATTATTGTTAGCAGTTGACATTTGTTCATTGTAAAAAAAGATGCATTTACAATTTGTTTCATATTTGACATAAAAATTGATGATACACCACTAGGCCACTGAACTACTAGGCCCACAAAAGAACTTTAGTCTGAAATTGCATATATACACAGCACGTATTTGTGGAAAATGTCTTAGTATTTTAGTATTAGTAGTAGTAGTAGTAGTAGTAGTAGTAGTAGTAGTAGTAGTAGTAGTAGTAGTAGTAGTTGTTGTTGTTGTTGTTGTTGTAGTATTGTTTTTATTGATGTATTCTTTTGTAATTAATGTCAAAATTATGATTAGTATTATGATTATTATTATTATTATTCTGTTTTGTTGTAATTATTGTTGTAATTATAGTTGTTATTATTATGTTTTGTTATTATTACTAATATCAATGTTTATTTACGCTCCTATTGTTGAGAAGATTAAGAACGTTCTATTAAAGTCTAACTTGAAAATTTGTGAACTCGTTAAAACGTGAAGGATGTTTTAAGATTAGTGAAGAACCAGTCTGCGTAGTAAAGAACCAGTCTGAGTAGCTAGTTATACACAGCATGTGTGGATATTTGTCGAAATGTGGAAAGTATCATTTGATTGAGGGAAACTTCTTATTATTTAATCGTCTTTGTATGTTCTTGAAAGGATTTTGTTAACGAAATCGTGACCCTTATAACTTCTTAATGTAAAAACACTTTTCACGGTTTAGGTAATTTGAATTGTTGAATAGTCCCAAAATATACGTATGTGTGTTTGTTAGGTTTGTGTGGGTTTATTTAGTTGTCTGTGTGTTTATCTCTTTGTTTGTGTATTTGTGGCTATAATTTATCATATGATTTATTATGATTGTTATTATTATTATAGCTAATTATAATTATTATTAATACTATTATTTGCTTTGTTACTATTTATATACATGTCCTAATGAAATATGAGAGAGTTGAAAGAACGAATGAAATAACTGAGTCCTCCAAACTAAACACTAACAGGAACAAGCTATAACACCTTGCCATTCAAAACACTACTTACATTCATTTCTCTCATTCTCTTTCTCTTTTTCTCTTCTCTCTTTCTCTCTCTCTCTCTCTCTCTTTGTTTATTTATATATACATACACACGTGGATCTGTATTTTAACGTTTACAAACATGTAAATCAAAGGAAAGTTTAGGGAAATAAATATATGTTGGTAGAAATCGTAACAATGAAGCGTTATTTTTAACTGTAATTTTCAGCCTTCCTGTAGTGTGTGTGTGTGTGGTTGTGTGTGTGTGTATATATATATATATATGTGTGTGTGTGTGTGTGTGTGTCTGTGTGTGTGTGTGTCTAGGGATGTTGATATGTACATGTCCATGTTTGAATGTGTGTATATAATACACGTATGGTAGAATAAAATATCTTCTTAATCTTAATCGTATTATATGTATTGGTTAAAACATTGGTTAAAACACACACCCACACACACACACACCCACACACATACATACACACACACACACATATATACATATATATATATATATAATTATCATATGATTTTATTATTATGAGAAAAAACATGGGCGAAGACAAAATGTCCCTATGCCCGCGACAAAAAATTAATTATAAAATTTTAACACATAAACAATGTACATGAATATATGTTTGGGCGGCGCGATGGTGTAATGGCTAAGGTGCCTGGCATTGGTGATGCAGTGTCCGGGTTCGAATACAAAAAGATCCTCGCCTATCACATGCAAAAGTAGATTCACGTGCATTTATGCACCGTGTGTTTGTTGCATTAATGATAATAATGCGCCTCAGTCGATTTCCATGGCGCTATATAATATGACATTATTATTATTATTATTATTATTATTATTATTATTATTATTATTATTATATGTTCTGTTCGTACATAAAGATCAAACAAAAAAAATATACAAACAAAAATATATAACTTTTATTATTAATTCAACCATTTGTAAAAATTTCAACCATTCATAGATATCGTCCTCTCTTAAAGATAATCATGTCAAAACAAACATTTATACCGTCATCCAAAATCTATATACAGCATTCACGAATAGTCATCCTTCAACTCCGCTCTCCAATCGTATTTAAATTTAGC